ACACATAAGAACACACACTGTTACAGACGCATACTTGAGTGCATTGACAAAATCACCCCAGTCAATCGAGAGAATTTGGATTTCTGCATTTGACTCTGTTAGCTTTGTGCATGCTGTTCGTTTACTCTGGGTGATGTCTTTCCCTCATTTTGTCCTGTCTATCTTGTACTCATACTTTAAGTCTTAACTTAAATGTTATTTCAACTAAGAAGCTATTTTTTTTTTTAATTTTAACTGGGCTAAAAGCCCTGTCTATAAACTCTGCTATAATTATGGGCTCTTTCTTATTATAATATTTAGGATTTTTCTTACTAATGTACTTAATCTGCTCATTGTGTATTCCTCCCACTAACTATTAACCTCTTTTATGGTAGAGACATTGTCTTGTAAACTCTTATTTCCCTAGTATTTGGAGATTTAAAAAATGATTAAACTATCCAAAAATTAGATCTCTCTTTTCTACATTATGAGTATTACACTATCCATAGAGAAGTTTGTTTGAGACCTAAACTGAGAAACCTTTGGATCTAAAATGACTATGTGATATCTTAATATTTATAGGTCATGAGGTTCCTTCCTCTGCCTCTATACGGTTGTTCCTTCAATCTCCCTTGCTGTAGTTTGATTAGTCAATGAGTATGTGTCATGCATTTATTCACATCAGAATTTCATACACTAATAAGACATAGTATCAGAAATCAGTTTATTAGTTATATCAGTTAGGGTCCATCAAGGAAAGCACAAACCACTATCAGTTACTCAACCTAGAATTAAATACAGCTCTTAATAGTTAATTATCGTTGTATTAGAAGACCTAAAATATGAAACAAAGGACAGTGCAGAAATCTAGATGTTCGTAACATCAGAAAACTTTTTCCGCCATTAGGCCTAAAAGGACAGAAGGAGAAAATGTTTATACCACCATCCAGAACCAGGGGTCTACTGGATTCAATGAGATATTGGGGGCTCCTTGGAGAAAGCCAGAACTGTCTAATGGGGGCATCAAAATATCAACCATAAAAAAGACTGTCTGCTGTAGGAGATCCCTTCAGAGAGAGAGAGCGAGAGGAGAGAGAGAAGGCCAGAAATAATCTTGCTTATGCTTTCCCTCAGCTAGTGTTTACCATTGCAGAATGTACATGGGACCAAAAGGGTGAGTAAACCTGGGAAATGTCATTTCCTCAAATACAGAGAACACTGAGGGAAGGATGAGGAATAAATTTGAAAGCAGTGTGGTAATTGACAGAAGGAAACTAGGATGTGTCCAATAAATGAACAATTATAGTGTGTAATGATTATTGCAATGATTAATGTATTGATAAGATAATATGAAAACACAGAATTCAAAGAGCAGTGAACTGAGATTAGAACTGTGGAGAGCACTGGCATTTAAGAATGCCACTTACACTTATAATGTGTCTCCTATGCATTGTTCTGTGCATATGAATATATCATATCAATATTCATTATCTGAACATTATAAATTAGGTACAAAGTGCAAATAATTTATTTTTTCAGGTTAGCAAGAATGTATTATTATTATTATTATCATTATTTGGGACAGAGTTTTGCTCTGGTTGTCCAGGCTGGAGTGCAATGGCACGATCTAGGCTCACTGTAACATCTACCTACCAGGTTCAAGTGATTCTCCTGCCTCAGCCTCCCAAGTAGCTGGGATTACAGGCGCCTGCCACCATGCCCAGCTAATTTTGTATTTTTAGTAGAGAGGGGGTTCCATGTTGGTCAGGCTGATCTCGAACTCCTGACATCAGGTGATCCACCCACCTTGGCCTCTGAAAGTGCTGGGATTACAGGTGTGAGCCACCATGCCCAGCCAAGAATGTGAATTTTGTAGAAGGATGTAACCCATATTTCTCTGACCCTAGAGTCCTTAGTGTTTCTCCCATACCATGTGGCTCATCCCCCTTGCATACATTTCCCATCTGTCACCCTATCTTTTCCTTTTCGTTTCAGCTTTTCACTGTGTGTCAAAATCTAGACCCTTATCTCCTATTTACTCTGAAACCAGCAGCAAGTTGAATTCCATTCTAACCAACGTTGACATTATGCTAATTAAAATCCATACTGAGTTCTAAAATCATTGGGGATTTTGGGGCTATGTCTTACTTCGTACTTCCTTGAGATTTCACATTAAGTGTTGGTGTTCATTAAAGGTCCTTCATTTAATTTTGTATTCGTCGCACTCTTGGATTCACAGTTATATCCAAACTCTTAAATATAGCTTGTATAATCCCAGTTCCCAAGTCTGATTTCTAGCTCTGTCCTCTGACCTCGGTGCCAAACCCATATATCAAACTATGTACTGGGCTTATTTGTATAGATGTCCTATAGGCACCTCAGACTCAGCATGGTCGTTTCACTTTTTATACTAAAACTGTTTCTCTTCCAGTGTTTTCCATTTTAGTCATTGGATAGCTACTTGCCCACTCACCAAGCTCAGAGACTTAAAATCATTTCCTTACCTCTAATCAACAGTTCAATTATGCTTGAATTTGTCCCTGTCTATTAATCACTTCTCTTACGGCCCACAGTCAGGTCCTCATTGTTTCCTGGACAAGAGTAGATGCTATTCTTTCCATGTTAAGACCTTATCCTGGCTGGATGTGGTGGCTTAGGCTTGTAAATCCAGCACTTTGGGAGGCCAAGGTAGGCAGATCACTTAAGGTCAGGAGTTCGAGACCAGCCTGACCAACATGGTGAAACCCCATCTCTACTAAAAATACAAAATTAGCTGGGCATGTGGTGCATGCCTGCAATCCCAGCTACTCGAGTGGCTGATGCAGAAGAATTGCTTGAACCCAGGAGGTGGAGGCTGCAGTGAGCCTAGATCGCGCCATTACACTCCAGCTTGGGCACTAGGGGTAAAACTCCATCTCAGACGAGAAAAGAAAAAAAGACCTTACCCTGTTATACAAACACTCTCAATGCAAGCCTTATATAATAAACATGTAACCAGATCTCCCAATGTGTAAAATCATTTCAGGTAGAACAGAATTAAAGGGAAAAGCCAAGTCTTTGGAATTAACAGACAAAGATCAAATAACAGTCCTCATGGCCTTAAGAATTTACCTAACATTTTTTTTAGAATCAATTTTCTTATATATGAATTGGAAACATAATTCCTACCTCACAAACACATTCTAAGATTTTAAGGAGATGTTGATGAAGTACATCATCTGTAATTTTTAACAGGTAGTGGTAGTGATTTACATAGCACACTGTGATCTGTTCTTGTACGTTCTCTTCCATTCTGTATTCTTGACCTGGTTGTATTCTTTCTGAGCTCCAGATACATATATCTAAGTATATCCTTTTGCATTTTACAACAATGCATAAAATACAGTGTATCCGAGACTGAATTTCTGATCTTATCATACCACTAAACTCACAAATGTGGTCCTATTCTTGTGTTCACGATCTCAGTGACTGACATCACCATCATGGTCTAAGTTTGATGATAGAAATGGCATTGTCACTTCCTTTCCTCCTGCAACAGAAGCCCAGTTATTTGTCTCCCATTTTCTCTACTTCTAAAATACATTTCTTCACTAAGTGAGAATAATCTTTTAAACATACAAATCAAACCATGCCACCATCTTCCTTGAATTATTCAATATCTTCTCTTGGCTTCCAGGTTACAGAAAAATAATTTGTAACAAAGTTTAAAGGTTATTCATGGCTCCTCTCTACTCTATTTTATAACATTTCCCCTTGTGATCAGAATCTCAGTTACATCGTCCATCTTTCTATATACAAATAAAATCATACAGTTAGAACTCACCTCTGGTTACTTTTAATCTAGCAAATGCTGCAAAATGCATTTGTGTTGCTACATGTTAAGCAGTAGTTGATTCTTTTCATTTCTGTCTAATATTCTATTCTTTAACTATACCATAATTTATCAGTTCTACTTTTGACAAACATTTAAGTGGCTACCAGTTTGAGGTTTTTATGAATATTGCTGTCATAAGCATTTCTATACACATCTTTGGATATACACATGCATGTGTTTCTGAATATCTAAAAATGTAATTGCTACGTAATAGATTTATCATGTATCCAGCTTTGGTAGATACTATTAAATGTTTTCCAAAGGGGTTATACTATTGTACACTCTCACCAACAGAGTTTGAGAGTTTCTATTGATCCATATTATTACCAAAATTTGAACTGTCCGTCTTATCTCTTCTCTTGTCTCTTTTTTCCTCTTTTTTCCTTTCCCTTCCTCTCTCTCTTTTCTTTTCTCTCCTCTTCTCTTCTTTCCTCTCTTCCCTTCCCTTTCTCTTTCTCTTCCCTATCCCTTCTCCTCTCCTCTCCCCTCCTTTTTTCTCCTCTCCTCTCCATTATTTGTTTTTCCTTCTTCTCCTCTATCCATTCCATCCTCTCTCTTCCCCTCTTCCTTCCTTCCTTTCACTAGGAAAGGATTGACCTTCTCCTCTCTTTCCGTCAATCCTTCCTTTTGGATATGCTCATAGGTGTGTATTTGTCTGCCACTGTGGCATTATTTGAATTCAGAAAAGAGTGAAAAACTACTGAGCTCTTCATTCCTGGGTCTAATTCCACATTTTTTTTAAGAACACAGTTGTAAAATGTTCTGTACTAGCATTTTCCCGGGAACTTCATTAAATTAAATCTGGCTGAATATGGTAAATCTACTTGGCACTTTCTCTGCATTCTTTCTATAGTCATACCATAATTTTAAACAATCATAATATTTGTATATAATATTTGATTTTATCTGTCATTAAAATGTTACCCTTAAAATTCATGTTTCCAGAACCTATTTCAATAACTGGTAAATAACCACCACTCGTTTTTAAAATATTCTTTTAATGGGCATTTATTTCAATATAATAAAAAATAAGAGTTTTATTATAGGAAGAATTTACCAAAAGAAGGAGGAAGCAAGCAAGTTTAAACGGCAGTAATAGATTTGTCCATTCCAATCTCTTTAAATTCCCTTGGAGACAAAAATCCCTGGAGACAAAAATCCCTATAGACAAAGGAGAACGTTATATTGAGTTAACTTGTTAAAACATCTGCTTCTAGACACGTTTTCTTAGTATAAAGTGACAGAAACAAATAAATTAAACTCTAAGATACATTCCACTATATTAGACTAAAACACTTCTGCATAAATGAAACTAGGAGGATATTTTTAGAAACAACTGCTAAAGAGATGTGCTGGAGAGATATGTAGAGGAGAACAGGATTTCTGAGTCAAGACACACATGACAGAACAGCCAATTTCAGGGCAAGGTAAGGGAACAGTGGAATGAAGGTTCATTTTTCATTCTCACAAACCAATGAAACCCTGCTTATCTTAAACCAACCTGCTCACTGGAGTAGGGAGGACAGGACCAGCATAAAAGGGAGAGCAGAGCCAACTGTTGCTTATACTTGCTTCTGACATAACCGTGTTCACTAGCAACCTCAAACAGACACTATGGTGCATCTGACTCCTGAGGAGAAGACTGTTGTCAGTGCCCTGTGGGGCAAAGTGAATGTGGATGCAGTTGGTGGTGAGGCCCTGGGCAGGTTGGTATCAAGGTTCTGAGACATGGAAGCTGAGCATGTGTAGACAGGGAAGATTCCTGGGTTTCTGATAGGCACTGACTCTCTCTGTCCCTTGGGCTGTTTTCCTACCCTCAGGTTACTGGTAGTCCACCCTTGGACCCAGAGATTCTTTGAGTCTTTTGGGGATCTGTCCTCTCCTGCTGCTGTTAATGGGCAACCCTAAGGTGAAGGCTCATGGCAAGAAGGTGCTAGGCGCCTTTAGTGATGGCCTGGCTCACTTGGACAACCTCAAGGGCACTTTTTCCCAGCTGAGTGAGCTGCACTGTGACAAGCTGCACGTGGATCCTGGGAACTTCAGGGTGAGTCCAGGAGATGCTCCACTTTTCTCTTTTTACTTTCTAATCTTACATTTTGGTTCTTTTACCTAGCTGCTCTTCCCCCACGTTTTTGTCTATTTTACTATATTTTATCATTTAATGCTTCTAAAATTTCGTTAATTTTTTATTTCAATATTCTGCATTTTTTCCTTCCTCACAATCTTGCTATTTTAAAAATTAAATTATTTAATATCCTCTCTTTCTCTCTCAACCGCCTCCCTTCATTTTTCCTTCTCTAACCACAACTCAAATTATGCACGCCAACTCTCATCTGCTAATTCTGCACTTAGAATAATCCTTTTGTCTCCGGTATGGGAGAGGCTCCAACTCAAAGAGGAGAGGCATAGAATGCTGTTTTAGAGGCTATAAGTCATTTTACAATAAGGAATAATTGGAATTTTATAAATTCGGTAGTAAATGGGATGGAAAGGAAAGTGAATATTTGATTATGAAAGATTAGAAAGTTACACTGGAGGTGGGGCAGAATCATTATTAGGAGACAGCCCATCATCACACTGATTAATCAATTAATTTGTATCTATTAATCTGTTTATAGTAATTAATTTGTATATGCTATATACACATACAAAATTAAAACTAATTTGGAATTAATTTGTATATAGCATTATACAGCATATATAGCATATATGTACATATATAGACTATATGATTGTTAAGTACATAGAGGGTGTGTATAGTATAGATATATGTTATATGTATGCCTTCATATATGTACTTATTTATGCTGATGGGAATAACCTGGGGATCAGTTTTGTCTAAGATTTGGGCAGAAAAAAATGGGTGTTGGCCCAGTTTCTCAGAAGCCAATCTTCATTTCTCTGTTAACCATATGCATGTATCTGCCTACCTTTTCTCCGCAGCTCCTGGGCAATGTGCTGGTGTGTATGCTGGCCCACAACTTTGACAAGGAATTCATCCTACAGGTGCAGGCTGCCTATCAGAAGGTGGTGGCTGGTGTGGCTAATGCCCTGGCTCACAAGTACCATTGAGGTCCTGGATTGTTTCCTGATAATCATAAGTAGACCCTATTTCCCTAGATTCTATTTTCTGAACTTGGGAACACAACGTCTACTTCAAGGGTATGGCTTCACCTAATAAAGAACGTTCAGTTCAACTTCCTGATTAATTGCACTTATTTCATTTTCTTGCCCAGGTATGTAAGAAGGTTCCTGAGGGTCTACAGATAGAGAGCACTTGCGTATTTTACAAAGAGGACATGGGAAATGAGAAAGGCAAGGGAACCGTACAAAGCATTAATGGATGACATTTCTACCTCCAAAGAAAAGAAATTATCAAGAACTCTTCATATAGAGATGATACTGGCACTGCAGAGGCTCTAGGGAAGACCTCAACCCTAAGACATAGCCTCAAGGTTAATCATATGATTAAACTCCAACAATTACTGAGAAAATAATGTGCTCAGTTAAAGGCATAATGTTTGCTCAAGACAGTGTTATGCTCTCTTTCTTTCTACTTCCTTTGCCTGCATGTGTTAGCCCATAATACTATACCCCATCAAGTGTTCTTGCTCCAAGAAATAGCCTCCTCCTCTTACTTGCCCCAGAACATCTCTGTGAACAATTTCCTCTGATCTTCCCATATTTCGGTTAAGATTCATTGCTCACATATTACTTGTGACCTCAGCCTCAATAAACTTTTCGATACTACCCAAAAAATCTTTCCAAACCCTCCCCCACACCATTTTTTACATTTTTCTTATTTATTTATGCACACACACACTCCATGCTTTATAAACAATTCTGCCTATTCTCCACCTTCTTACATGCCTACTGTGCCTTGTATTAAATTCATCTATAAGCAGCAAGAAAATATTTATTCAAGAAAATAATGAATGAATGAATGAATGAATGAGTAAATGAGTAAATGAAGAAATGATTATTCCTTGCTTTAGAACTTCTGGAACTAGAGGACAATATGAATCATACCATTGCACAGTGTTTCTTTGTCGTTAATGCTACAACAAACAAAGAAGAAGCATGCAGTAAACAACCAACCAGTCATTTCCTTTCTGATCATAGGTAGTAATTTTTTTTCTTTGAGCACCATTTTTGCCATAGGTAAAATTAGAAGGACTTTTAGAACTTTCTCACTCGTATACATTTTTATAAATCTGTATTATATGCCTGTTGATTAATTTTAAACTTACTTGAATACCTAAACAGAATCTGTTGTTTCCTTGTGTTTAAAAGTGCTTTCATAGTAACTCTGTCTGTACTGCCGGAATATATTGACAATGCATTATAGTTAACTGTTTTGATCACAATATTTTGAATTGACTGGCAGCAGAAGCTCTTTTATATCCATGTGTTTTCCTTAAGTCATTATACATAGTAGGCACTGAGGACTCTTTATATCTGAAGAGGATATTGAGGAACCACTGGTTTACATATCAGAAGCAGAGCTACTCAGGGCATTTTGGGGAAGATCACTTTCACATTCCTGAGCATAGGGAAGTTCTCATAAGAGTAAGATATTAAAAGGAGATACTTGCGTGTTATTCAAAAGACAGTAAGAGAGACTGTAGACCTTATGATCTTGATAGGGAAAAACAAACTACTTTCCTTTCTCCAAAAGTCAAAACAAGAGCAAATATAGCTTACTATATATACCTTCTTCTATTCCTACACCATTAGTAAATCTAGGCAAGACGTTGGCCTTAAAAATCCCAATACCGGAGAATTCATGAGAACATCACCTGGATGGGACATTGCCGAGCACATACAATTACTATAGGCCAGTCATTGCTATCTTCATATTGAGGATAAGGAGGTCAAGAGATGAAAAACGACTTGGAACCTTGTTGTTATATTAAAATTATTTGTTAGAGTAGAGCTTTTGTAAGAGTCTAGGAGTGTGGGAGCTAAATGATGATACACATGGACACAAAGAAGAGATCAACAGACATGCAGGTCTACTTGAGGGTTGAGGGTGGGAAGAGGGAGAGGATGAAAAAAGTACCTATTGGGTACTAAGTTTATTAGCTGAGTGATGAAATAATCTGTACATCAAAACCCAGTGACATGCAATTTACCTATATAAGTTGTACATGTACCCCCAAATTTAAAATAAAAGTGAAAACAAAGTATAGGAGTGGAATTAATTCCTCAAGATTTGGCTTTAATTTTATTTGATAATTTATCAAAAAGTTGTTTTCCTTTTCTCACCATGGCATTGCTTTATAAGCCATGCTCAGTATGTCTGAATGAAAGGGTGCATGTGTGTGTGTGTGTGTGTCTGTGTGTGTGTGTGTGTCTGTGTGTGTGTGTGTGTGTATGAGAAAGAGAGGGAGGGAAGAACGGAGGAGAGGACACAATAATGTGAATTTGAGTTTACGAACATTTTTAAATAAAATAATTTAATGTCAGGATAATTTAGCATAATAATCTCTTAAATCATCCATCTCTTGAGCTTCAGAGCAGTCTTCTAAATTAATGCCTACATGTTTGTAAAGGGTGTTCAGACTGAAGCCAAGATTCTACCTCTAAAGAGATGCAGTCTCAAATTTAACTGAAGACTGTACCTCTGCTCTCCATAAATTGACACACCATGGCTCACTTAATGAGGTTTTAAAAAAAGCTAATTCTGAATGAAAATCTGAACCCAGTAGAGGAAATATTGATGAACAAGGTGTAGACTGAAATATAAATTTCTCTGTAATAATTATGTATATACTTTAGCAAAGTTGTGTCTATGTCGACTTTATTGCTTTTTGGTAAGAAATACAACTTTTTAAAGAGGACTAAACTATCCTATTTCCAAACTATTTTGTGTGTATGCAATTTGTTTCTGTGGGTTCTGGTTTTGTTGGGGCATTTTTAGTTCATTTTAATTAATTAATTCTGAGAAGATGCTGAATTGTGTTTACTGAGAGACTGTGTATCTGGGAGAGAAGTCTGCAGCAAGTAGCTAGACTGTGCTTGACCTAGGAACATATACAGTAGTTTGCTAAAATGTTTCACTTGGGGAATTTTAGGTTAAACAGCAGAGCATGTATAAAAATACTCTAGTTGAGTGCTGCTTTTGAAACAAATGACAAAACCACACTCCCATAGATGAGTGTCATGATTTTCATGGAGGAAGTTAATATTCATCCTCTAAGTATACTCAGACTAGGCCCGTTCTGGTATAAAATATTAGGACTTAAGAAAGATTAATAGACTGGAGTAAAGGAAATGGACCACTGTTTCTCTCGCTGTCTCTTTTTTGAGGACTTGTATGTGTGTGTGTGTGTGCGTGTAGTGGTAAGTGGGACTGGAATAAAAGTAGAATAGACCTGCACCTGCTGTGGCATCCATTCACAGAGTAGAAGCAAGCTCACAATTGTGAAGATGTCAGTGAGCTTGAGTAGTTTTTCAGGAACTTTGAATGCTGATTTAGATTTGAAACTGAGGCTCTGACCATAACCAAATTTGCACTATTTATCTCTTCTTGAAACTTATTTTTGTCTGGCATGCCTGGGCTTTTGATGGTCTTAGTATAGCTTGCAGCCTTGTCCCTGCAGGATTATGGGTCATAGAAAGAAAAGTCTGCATCACACTCTAGTCACACTAAGTAACTACCATTGGAAAAGCAACCCTTGCCTTGAAGCCAGGATGATGGTATCTGCAGCAGTTGCCAACACAAGAGAAGGATCCATAGTTCATCATTTAAGCAAGAAAACAAAATAGAAAAACTTAGGAAAACTATTTCTGAGCATAAGAAGTTGTAGGGTAAGTCTTTAAGAAGGTGATAATTTCTGCCAATCAGGATTTCAAAGCTGTTGCTTTGACAAGTTTGGTCTTTCAGAATAATATAAATATAATCTATATTATAATTTCATAAGGTCTGTGGATTTTCTTTGACCTGGAATATTTGCAAAAGACATATTCCAACTTCCACAGAACACTTTATTTCACATATACACGCCTCTTATGTCAGGGATGTGAAATAGAGTCTTGAAAACAGTCTGAATCTAAAACAATGCTAATGCTAATGCAGGTTTAAATTTAATGAGATAAAATCCAAAATCTAAGAGTCAAGTCAAATCTATATATTTTAACGTTTAAAATATTTTAAAGACCTCTTTTCCCAGGATTCAACATGTGAAATCTTTTCTCAGGGATACACGTTGCTAGATCCTCATTGCTTTAGTTTTTTACAGAGGAATGAATATAAAAAGAAAATACTTGAACTTTATCTCTCTTACCTCTATAATCATATATAGGCATAATTTTTTAACTTAGGCTCCAGATAGCCATAGAAGAACCAAATGCTTTCTGCATGTGTGAGAATAATCAGAGAGAGATTTCTTTACAAGTACCTGATGAGGGTTGAGACAGGTAGAAAAAGTGAGAGATCTCTATTTAGCAATAATGGAGAAAGTATTTAAGAGAATCAAGCAATGGAAATAAGAAATGTGTAAATTTCCTTCCAATAACCAGAAATAGAGGATCGAGTTTCTTTTGGTTAACCTAAATTTTATTTTATTTTATTTATTTTATATTACCTCATTTTATTTTATTTTGTGTAATTGTAGTTTCAGAGTGTTAAAGCTGAAAGGAAGAAGTAGGAGAAACATGGAAAGTAAAAGTATAACACTTTCCTTACTAAAAGGACATGGGCTTCCAGGTAGGGGCAGGATTCAGAATGACTGACAGAGCCCTCAGGGAACAAGGAGTCTCCACACTGACCTCAGAAATGCTTGCTACCTTTGCTGTTTTCTTTACATCTTTTAACAGCAGGAAGCAGAACTCTGCACTTCAAAAGTTTTTCCTCACCTGAGGAGTTAATTTAGTACAAGCGGGAAAAGGTGCAGGGGGATTGGAGAAAGGAGATCATGTTGGAAAGCTATAGAGATAGAAGAGTAAATTTTAGTAAAGGAGGTTTAAACAAATAAAACATAAAGAGAAATAGGAACTTGAATCAAGGAAATGATTTTAAAACTCAGTGTTCTTAGTGGACTAGAGGAAGAAATAATCTGAGCCAAGTCTGGAAGACCTTTTCCCTTCCTACCAGTGCTTTTTAAGTCACAGAAGCTTCTTTGTTCCCCGAGACACTTTTGCAGATTAGTCCAAGCAGAAACAGTTAGATGTCCCCAGTTAACCTCCTATTTGACACCACTGATTACCCCATTGTTAGTCACACTTTGGGTTATAAGTGACTTTTTCTTTATTTGTATTTTTTACTGCATTAAGGGGTCTCTAATTTTTTATCTCTCATTTCCCAAAACCTAATAAGTAATTATTGCACAGAACACATTGATTTGTATTTATTCTATTTTTAGACATAATTTATTAGCATACATGAGCAAATTAAGAAAAACAAAACAACAACAAATGAATGAATGCACATATATGTATATATTTTCTTTTCTTACCAGAAGGTTTTAATCCAAATCAGGAGAAGATATGCTTAGAACTGAGATAGAGTTTTCATCCATTCTGTCCTGTAAGTATTTTGCGTATTCTGGAGACACAGGAAGAGATCAATCTATATATCCCTAAGCTGAATTATGGTAGGCAAAATTCTTCCACTTTTAGTGCATCAATTTCTTATTTGTGTAATAAGAAAATTGGGAAAGCGATCTTCAATATGCTTACCAAGCTGTGATTCCAAATATTAGGTAAATACACTTACAAAGGAGGATGTTTTTAGTAGCAATTTGTACTGATGGTATGGGGCCAAGAGATATGTCTTAGAGGGAGGGCTGAGGGTTTGAAGTCCAACTCCTAAGCCAGTGCCAGAAGAGCCAAGGACAGGTATGGCTGTCATCACTTAGACCTCACCCTGTGGAGCCACACCCTACAGTTGGCCAATCTACTCCCAGGAGCAGGGAGGGTAGGAGCCAGGGCTGGGCATAAAAGTCAGGGCAGAGCCATCTATTGCTTACACTTGCTTCTGACACAACTGTGTTCACGAGCAACCTCAAACAGACACCATGGTGCATCTGACTCCTGAGGAGAAGAATGCCGTCACCACCCTGTGGGGCAAGGTGAACGTGGATGAAGTTGGTGGTGAGGCCCTGGGCAGGTTGGTATCAAGGTTACAAGACATGCTTAAGGAGGCAAATAGAAGCTGGGCATGTGGAGACAGAGAAGACTCTTGGGTTTCTGATAGGCACTGACTCTCTCTGCCTATTGGGCTATTTTCCCACCCTTAGGCTGCTGGTGGTCTACCCTTGGACCCAGAGGTTCTTTGAGTCCTTTGGGGATCTGTCCTCTCCTGATGCTGTTATGGGCAACCCTAAGGTGAAGGCTCATGGCAAGAAAGTGCTTGGTGCCTTTAGTGATGGCCTGAATCACCTGGACAACCTCAAGGGTACCTTTGCCCAGCTCAGTGAGCTGCACTGTGACAAGCTGCATGTGGATCCTGAGAACTTCAAGGTGAGTCTATGGGACCCTTGATGTTTTCTTTCCCCTTCTTTTCTATGATTAACTTCATGTCATAGGAAGAGGATAAGTATCAGGGTACAGTTTAGAATGGGGAAGAGACAAATGATTGAATCAGTGTGGAACTCTCAGGATCATTTAGTGTCTTTTATTTGCTGTTTATAACAATTGTTTTCTTTTGTGTTTAATTCCTGCTTTCTTTTTTTTCTTCTCCGCAATTTTTATTATTATACTTAATGTCTTAATGCTGTGTATAACAAAAGGAAATATCTTTGAGATACATTAAGTAACTTAAAAAAAACAGCTTACACGGTCTGCCTAGTACACTACTATTTGGAATATATGTGTGGTTATTTGCATATTCATAATCTACCTACTTTATTTTCTTTCTTTTTAATTAATACATAATCATTATACATATTTATTGGTTAAAGCATAATGTTTTAATATGTATACACATTGCATATTGACCAAATCAGGGTAATTTTGCTTTTGTAATTTTTTAAAATGCTTCTTGCTTTAATATACTTTTTTGTTTATTTTATTTCTAATACTTCCCCTAATCTCTTTCTTTCAAGGCAATAAGCATACAATGTATCATGCTTCTTTGCACCATTCTAAAGAATAACAGTGATAATTTCTGGGTTAAGGCAATAGCAATATTTCTGCATTTAAGTAGAATATTTCTGCATATAAATTGTAACTGATGTAAGAGGTTTCATATTGCTAATAACAGCTATAATCCAGTGATCATTTTGCTTTTATTTTATGGTTGAGATAAGGCTGGATTATTCTGAGTCCAAGCTAGGCCCTTTTGCTAATCATGTTCATATCTCTTGTCTCCCTCCCACAGCTCCTGGGCAACGTGCTGGTGTGTGTGCTGGCCCATCACTTTGGCAAAGAATTCACCCCGCAAGTGCAGGCTGCCTATCAGAAAGTGGTGGCTGGTGTGGCTAATGCCCTGGCCCACAAGTACCACTAAGCTCACTTTCTTGCTGTCCAATTTCTACCAAAGGTTCCTTTGTTCCCAAAGTCCAACTACTGAACTGGGGGATATTATGAAGGGCCTTGAGGATCTGGATTCTGCCTAATAAAAAACATTTATTTTCATTGCAATGGTGTATTTAAATTATTTCTGAATATTTTACCTAAAAGTGCATGTGGGAGGTCAGTGCATTTAAAACATAAAGAAATGAAGAGCTAGTTCAAACCTTGGGAAAATACACTATATTATGAACTCCATGAAAGAAGGTGATGCTGCAAACAACTAATGCACGTTGACAACAGCCCCGATGCTTATGCCTATTCACCCCTCAGAAAAGGATTCAAGTGGAGGTTTGACTTGGAGGTTAAAGTTTTGCTATGTTATATTTTACATTACTTATTGTTTTAGCTGTCTTCATGAATGTCTTTTCACTATTCGTTTACTTATCCTGCACCTCTCAGCCTTGATTCCACTTAGTTCTCTTGCTTAGAGATATTACTTTTCCCTTAAAGTGTTCCTTCCATGTTTTATGGCCAGATGGTTTCTTCTCACCTGGCCACTTAGCCTTAGTTGTCTCTGTTGTGTTATAGAGGTCTACTTGAAGAAGGAAAAACAGGGGGCCATGGTTTGACTGTCCTGTGAGCCCTTCTTCCCTGCCTCCCCTACTAACAGTGCTCCGGAATCTGCAATGCTAGTCTCCTGGAACTTTCACTCTTTCACAGTCTGCTTTGGAAGGACTGGGCTTAGAGTGAAAATGTAGGACTGAGAAGAATGTGAAAGGGGGCTTTTTGTAGCTTGGTATTCACTGTTGCCTTATTACCCTGTCATAGGCCCACGCCAAATGGAAGTCCCATTCTTCCTCAGGATGTTTAAGATTGGTAAGTGATTAGAGGTCTGCTCGCTCCCTTATCGTGCCCCTTATGGTGCTTCTGGCTCTGCAGTTACTAGCACAGTGTTACCATCAACAACCTTAACTTCATTTTCTTATTCAATGCCTAGGTAGGTAGATGCTAGATTCTGGAAATAAAATATGAGTCTCAGGTGGTCCTTGTCCTCTCTCCTAGTCGAATTCTGAATCTAGTTGACAAGATTCTGAAATCAAGGTGTATAATCAGTAATACGTGATGATAGAAGGGTATATAGAAGAATTTTATGATATGAGAGGGTGAAACCCTCAAAATGAAATGAAATCAGACCTTGTCTTACACCATAAAAACAAATTTCAAAATGGGTTAAAGATTTCAAATAAGACCTAAAACCATAAAAAATTTTAAAGAAGTCATAAGAAGAAAATTGTAATGTTCATGTTGCCGTCATTTTTTGAATTTGATATGAGAAGCAAAGGCAACAAAAGGAAAAATAAAGAAGCGAGGCTACATCAAACTAAAAAAATTTCCACACAAAAAAGAAAACAATCAACAAATGAAAGGTGACCCATGAAATGGCATATTTGCAAATCGAATATTTATTATATATTTTGGTTAATATTCAAAACATATAAGAAACTCGTCTGATTCCATAGCAAACAAAAAATTAAAAATGGGAAAAGAAAAAAATTAAAAAGAAAGAAATCCTGCCATTTATGGCAGAATTGATGGACCTGGAGGATGTAACACTAAGGAAAATAAGACAAAGAGACAAATACTGCACAATCTTGCTCATATGTGAAATCTAAAAAAGCGAAACTCATGGAAACAGAGAGTAGAGGTGTAGTTTCCAGGGGTTGGGAGAGGGAGAATCAGGAAACTATTATTCAAGGGGTATAAAATTTCAGTTATGTGGGATGAATAAATTCTAGATATCCAATGTACAGCATCATGACTGTAGTTACTTGTACTGTGTGTATATTTAAAATTTGCTAAGAGAGTAGATTTTTTTTTTTTTTTTTTTTTTTTTTTTTGAGATGGAGTTTTGCTCTTGTTGTCCAGGCTGGAGTGCAATGGCAAGATCTTGGCTCACTGCAACCTCCGCCTCCCGGGTTCAAGCAAATCTCCTGCCTCAGCCTCCCGAGTAGCTGGGATTACAGGCATGCGAGACTAAACCCAGCTAATTTTGTATTTTTAGTAGAGACGGGGTTTCTCCATGTCAGTCAGGCTGGTCTGCCTGCCTTGGCCACCCAAAGTGCTGGGATTATAGGCATGAGCTACTGAGCCTGATTGAGAGTAGATCTTAAAAGTGCTTACCACAAAAAAAAGGTAACTATGTGAGATAATGGGTAAGTTAATTAACTTGATTGTGGTAATCATTTCACAAGGTGTACATATATTAAAACATCATGTTGCACACCTTAAATATATATAATTTTTATTTGTGAATCATACCTCAATAAAGTTGAAGAATAATAAAAAGGGACAAAATATATATCACATGAATAAAAAAACTAAAAATAAAAAATTGCATCTCGATGATTACAATTGCATTCTTGATTTTTCAGACACAAATATCCATTTGACTGTTTACTCTTTTCCAAAACAGTACAATAAATTTTAGCACTTTATCTTCATTTTCCCCTTCCCAATCTATAATTATATATATATTTTTTAGATATTTTGTATAGTTTTACTCCTAAGATTTCTTCTTATTATTAAATAGTGAAGAAATGTTTACACTTATTTACAAAACGTTTTACATGCTTTTCTTAATTTCTAATCTTCCCTCTAAGTTTATTCTATTTTTTTCTGAGTATCCTTAATATTATCTCTTGTTGCTGGAAATACCTTGTTACTTTTGGTTTATCTAAAAATGGTTTCATTTTCTTTATTCTAAAAGCATATAAAATTAATATCACTCATGTGTAAGTCAGATAGTGGAATAAATAGAAATCCAAAAACTAAATCTCACTAAAATATAATAATCTGATATATAAAATATAGCTTTTAAATTTAGCTTGGAAATAAAAAACAAATAGTAATTGAACAACTACACTCTTTGGAAAGAGTAAAGTGAAAAGCTTAACTGTATACACCACAATCGATTACACAATTAGGTGTGAAAGTGAAATCCAGTCATGAAAATCTAGAATAATAATATGGGAAGACATGTATACAATCTTAGAGATAAGAGTGGTTTTTAATTATCAACCCAAAGTCGAAGCTATCAAGAGAGAAATAAATTCAGTCAACAATAAAAGCAATTTAAGAAGTTATTCTAGGCTGGGAGTGATGGCTCACTCCTATAATCCCAGCACTTTGGGAGGCCTAGACCAGTGGATCACGAGGTCAGGAGTTCGAGATCAACCTGGCCAACATAGTGAAACCTCGTTTCTACTAAAACTATAAAAAATTAGCCTGGCGTGGTGGCGGGCGCATGTAATCCCAGCAACTTGGGAAGCTGAGGTAGGAGAATCACTTGATGCTGGGAGGCAGAGGTTGCAGTGAGCCGATATTGTGACACTGCATTCCAGCCCAGGCGACAGTGTGAGACTCCATCACACAAAAAAAATAATAATAAGTTTTTCTATTAAAACTGATCTTACAGATCCATAGAGCCATTATCAAGTCTTTCTCTTTGAAATAGACAGAAATTTAGTGTGTTCTCAGTCAATCAACATTCCTTCAACTAGATTAGTTGTGACAAAATTTCAGGCCTTGCTTAACTCTAACCTCAGTCTCTCCATATATTTCTGAGAGTTTTCTTTCTTATTTGTTTATAAGGATTTCGTAAATGGCAATATTGAGAAGTAGAAAATTTCGGAGACTTATTTTTCATGAACCAGAACAATCTCAAAGCAGCAATGCTAAACAGGAGCCAAGCCTAGAATAAAGTTGAACTTCTGGAATCAACAAGCTAGGGAAAAGTCTCCCATTAAATCAATCAAGTATTTGAAAACTGGGAGGTCAAATCAGAGGTGAAAAATGATTAAAGATAACAAGAGGTCTGAAAAACAAATCGACCAATTAAAATTAAAATAAAGAGGCAAGCTGGGCACAGTGGCTTGCATCTGTAGTCCCAGTAACCCAGGAGGCTGAAGTAAGAGGATCACTTGAGCCCAGGATTTCAAGGCTGCAATGAGCAATAATGACACCCCTGCTCTGTAGGCTTGGTGACTGAGTGAGATCCTGTCTCTGAGGAAAACAAAAAACAAAAACAAACAAACAAAAAAACACACAGATATTAAGAACATAGAAGTTTTGCTGCTGTGATGATATACTCCAACAGAGGTCTGAACTGCTTGCAGTGACTACGGGCTGTTTCTCCTCTGGATTCTTGGGTTCTTCACATCTTCTCAACTTTGTGAAAAGATATTCATCCAAAGGTCTTACCTGTCTTCTTCAGACCTTGGATTTTGGATTAGCTTTTTCTATTTCTTGGGATTCTCTAGATCTATATATTCAGATATAACACAGATACAACCAAAAGAAGCAAAGGAGGCATGACAGAAGGGGCTTTGTATTCTGGGGAGGGGGACATAGAGTTGAGAGAAATACAAGAATTTATAGGACTCCACTCAAAGAGCCCTCAAATAAAGTATGGCTAGTCTTCTTTGCCTAAGACAATGAGCAGTCCAGGAAGTTATCCATTTCTTTTAGATTTTCTAGTTCATATGCATAGAGATGTTCATAGTAGTTTTTGATGATTATTTGTATTTCTGTGGGGTGAGTGATAATACCCCTTTTTCATTTCTAACTGCTTATTTGGATCTTCTCTCTTGTCTTCTTTATTAGTCTAGCTAGTGGTCTACTTTATTAATTTTCTCACAAAACCAGTTCTTGGACTCATTAACCTTTTTTTTTTTTTTTTTTTTTTTTTTTGAGACAGAGTCTCACTCTATCACCCAGGCTGGCGTGCACTGGCGTGATCTCGACTCACTGCAAGCTCTGCTTCCCAGGTTCACACCATTCTCCTCCCTCAGCCTCCCAAGTAGCTGGGATAACAGGCGCCCACCACCATGCTTGGCTATTTTTGTATATTTTAGTAGAGACCGGATTTCACCGTATCAGCCAGGATGGTCTCGATCTCCTGACTTTTGTGATCCACCCGCCTCGGCCTCCCAAAGTGCTGGGATGACAGGTGTG